AACCTATTTTTCTCTGGTGGTTGGTGGAGAGTTTTGGTGCTTCTTCTGCAGCAGCGTGAGGCCACACCTCAAATCCAGGATTTAGTTTAGGGCCTCTCACTACGAGAAGGATACTGAGCGGCTGGAGCGTGTCTAGAGAAGGGAACGGAGCTGGGGAAGGGTCTGGAGCACAATTCCTGTGAGGAGCAGCTGAGGGAGCTGGGGGTGTTCAGCCTGGAGAAGAGGAGGTTCAAAGGAGACCTTACTGCTCTCTACAAGTACCCGAAAGGAGGGTGCAGAGAGATGCATGTTGGGTCGCTTTCTCCCAAGTGACAAGTGATAGGATAAGAGGAAATGGCCTCAATTTGCACAGGGGAGGTTTAGATTGTAGATTAGGAAAAATTTCTTCACTGGAAGGGCTGTCAGGCATTGGAGTGAGCTGCCCAGGGAGGCGGTTGTGTCACCATCCCTGGAGGGATTTAAAGGACATGGAGATGCGGTGTTTAGGGACATGGTTTAGTGGTGACGTTAGCAGCGTTGCATTAACGGTTGGACTTGATGATCTTAAAGGTCTTTTTCAAGCTAAAAGATTGTATGATTCTATGAAGTAACTTATTCTTCGTGTCACTTATAGTATCTGTGTTTCCTGCAGGGATGTTGCCCTATTTGGGTGTTGAAACCACTTGTGAACTTATCCAAGGACTGTGGGTTCACCCGGCATGGGCTTTGTCATCCTTGGGTTACTTTGTGCAGTATTAGTGTGTCTCTATTAACATGCTGTTGGGGCTCGCTTTCAGGTGTGATCTTTACATTTACTTGGGGAAGGGATTTTGTAGGTGGCTTATGTGCCTTGGCTTCCTGCAAAAGGCTAAACTCGTGATGCAGGAAACCTGCTGTTCTGCGTGTGAATTTATTAGAAATATGCGTGATTGTAGAGATCTACTCTTCCAAGTGGGAATTTGGGAGAGCGAGGGTGTATTAATAGATCCAGCACCATTATATAACCGTATAGTCTTTAAAAGGAAGTTTTTTATTCTTGTTCTTCAGTAGTCTTCCTTTTCTCTGGTGTCTTACTACCCCGCTGTGTTCTCAGCACAAAATTGCTGTGTACCACTGCCTTCCTCCTCTTCCTGCCGGGCTTTATGCATCTTCAGTGCTGTAAAAGCTTTCAGGTTTGCAGAAGAACACCAAGTACAACTGCAGGTGTTTTCTGATGATGAACAACTGAACAAAAAGGAAGGTAACCAGTGAAAAAACCACAGTGCTGTCTTTTGCTTGAGGAGGGATATCTCTGCTACCCTAGTTTAAAGCCAACTCGTAGTGGTTTGAAGTCAAGATTGGTTTGTTCTGTCCCCATTGAAGTTGGGACCTGCTTTAGGGTCTGATCCAAACCCACCAAACTGTAGGAGCCATTCTGATGTCAGTAGCTTTGGTGCTGGCTCCTAGTTAGTGCATGGTCATCTTACCCTTGTACCTGCCTTGCAGGTAGCTCCCCACAGTAGCAGGTACTTACACTTTTTAGGGTTAAGGTAACGTTACAATACAAGATGGCCAAGGAGACGTGATTTCTAACAGCTGACTTATAGATTTGAATAAAACAATCCAACTCATGATAGTGTTGAAATGTATCTTCCTGATGTACACAGCAGCAATGGTGCCTGTTGTGAGGCGGTCCTGCCACAGCATTCTTGCGTTGGCAAGTTGTTTAGGCTGGGTCTTTGTTTCTGCTACATCAAATAATAAGAGGAGGTTTTTTTTTCCCAGCTTTTGTACTTTCTGAGTGACCAAGTAGTTTTCAGGTTTAACAACTTGGGTACCTTGATAGCAGGAATTGTTGCCTAATACCATGGTTTTTCAAACACTCGCCTGCAACTTTATTGGCTTTGTAGAGTGTTTTGTAGGGTGAGTGGTTTGCAGCGCTGGATGTTTCTACTGAAAAAGGCAAAATTGGCCATATCTTCTAAGGCATCTGCATCAGCAGAATTGTAATTTCCATTCTGGATTGGTTTTGCTGTGATATGAGTCTGGAGATTTTTTGGTCTTTTGGTTTATATCACTGAAACAGGTCCAGCAGATGAATCTTTTCTACATTGCTTCAGAAGAATGATTAAGAAAATGATCTACCACTTACATCCAGACATCCTGGAGACTGTTACTTGCTAGCAGACTGCTGAAAGTCTGCAATTTTTGGGCTCCTTTAGAATATCTGACAGTCGTTGGTTTCCCAGCAGTGGTGGTTACTGGTATTACAAGCCCGGTCCAGACATTTCCCATCCCTCCATTTGTGGTGCTGCAGTCCTTTCCAGTTATCAGCGTCGCGAGCCAATAGAAAGCACAAGCTGCCAGAGAAGAGCACGAATGCGAACACTTCTGAACTATCATACCTCTTGAATATCATGACTTTCCCCGTTTTCTAGAGCTAAATTCATTTGCAATAAACTAGTTGTGTTTTAGCCTTTCTGAGGGTGGTTAACGGTGGCAGAGAGGATGAGGTGCAGATCATACCAACTGCTCAGAAGTAACTGAGCCCTAACTTGTGGTTAGGATTTTATTATATTGCTTTACAGATATTTCCTGAGAGCAGGCACATTCTTATCTTAATAGCTGGGTAACTTGGATAAAGTTAGTAAGATGACATTTGAGAAAACTGCTGTAGAGTAGCACAGGCTGGTTGTGCCTCTTTTAGCTCACTGGAAATGAGGGAAATCGATTGGAAAAACATTGAATAAACCAACCATCTAACAGATTACAATTTAATTCCGTTTAAGCTTTCTGCTGACGGCAGATGTAGGGGTGCAGTTTCCCACTGGAATTTATAAACCCACGTTTGATGTGAAATGTGGTGGATGCTGTGTGTAAAGGACTCGTGATTTTACTGCTGGAATGCTTTGAATGGCATTTCCTTTGCCCTCAAAATGACTGCATGGAAACTTGAGGTAAGGTAATATACACAAGTTCAAATACAGCACAGCACAATAGTATGCTGATGGCACTTGGACAAGTTCCTATTAGTATTATCTTATTTAAAAGAACTTCTAATTCCTCTGGTGTTTAGAACAATAGATCTTGCGAGACTTCCCGTAAGGAGCAGTAGAGTGCAAGTAATTTTACTCGGAACTTTTTAGGAAGCTCATTCCGTTTTCATAAAAAAAGCAAGGATGCTGGATACACATATGGAAGATCTCAAAGCAAAATCACTGTTGCAAAAAATAGTTTTCCAGAAAAATACAGATTGCAAGCTGCTGGGGATAGTGATCCATGTGGATGTGCTATAAAAATGCAAGGTTAGCAGGAAGACAATGCCCCTGGGAACAGGGAAGAGAACAGAGCAGCGTATCTGGAATAAGCTGAACCCTAACGATAGTCATTTGCTAGTGCTTGTTTTAGCCTTGTGATTTCTGTGAGTTTCTTCAGTGTCAGCTTTCAGTTATCCATGTCTGGTATTTTAGTAAGCACTAAGTTCCTGTCCTTAGAAGCCTCTAACCCAAGTGAGCTGGAAGCTTTCAGTATCTTATTCTTTTGAGTGATAATTTCAGTAGTGTTTCTCAAATCGGGAAAGATGGGTGAGAAGGGGTGTCGCTGCACTGCTGGCCTGATCCAGAGGGAAGCTTGGGACTGTCCTCATGTGGATGCAGCTTGCTTGCAAATTGTGAAGAGGGATCTTTTGTTGCAGTTGCTTCCTCAGTTGGGATAATGTCCTTAAGCCATGGACTAACTCCGTGGCTCCTGTAGGATTTCAACGTTTACAGTTAGCTATCTCAGCCGAGTTTCAAGAGTTTTCGAACAGGTTGTGGTGAATTAATGTTGTGCTTTTATGTGAAACAGCCCTTGAATTTCAGAGGCTTATCCTCCAAGCCTGTCATGAATCGCAAAAATGGCATTCAGGATTTTGATTGCCTGTACTGTGTTTAAAAAGGTGTGTGTGTGTATAAAATTGAGTTATGGAGAATGACCTCATTGCAAGTCTATAATTACGAAATATGTAAACGGTGTAGTTTGGAGCAAATTGGGAAGAAACACATTTTTGTGTTTACAGTTTCCTTGTCACCTGATTTATTTATTCGTCCAAGGAAAGTCTGCCATCCTTTCTGAATGACTTGGTTGTCGAGTCTTTTGTAATGCTCTTCTCTGAACAAACACACTGTATTCCATTGTTTTCCCTGCACACTACTGCTCCTGTTCATAGATCCCGTTTTCCATATCATTAATTGCATAAAACATCAGTGTTATCCCTGAAAGCATAGTTTTCATGTAGAAGAACGATTTACTCTAAATAATACAATTACTAGCAAGTGCATGGAGCATCCTTGGGCATCCTTCAGCTGTTAAAGATGCTTCAGGTGGGGGTAATGCTGTGCAGAGTGTGAATACCTGTCTGCAAGGCTTCCTCTGGGATGGTCAGGCTGGTGTGACGCTGCTGTATCCCAGGGAACCAGTCCAAGTTCCTGTTAAAGCTCTGAGCATCTTGGCGATGGAAGATTACCAGGCAAAGCATATTCTGCTAATAAAACATCCAGAATAAGGGGCTGATCCCTCCAGCCTACACTTAGGACACTGAAGTGGTATAAAATCTAGTAACGTTTTACGTACCTGACTCTGTTGCTGCACATGTTAACAGGATGCTAATTGGAGTTGAGTTATTGCTTGTTCTGTATGTATACAAATGTAAATGAAGCACTGGCTGTCAGAGGGAAGTTTGTACAGTAGCAGGGCTGCCGGGGGAGTGCGGTCGTGCTGTAATGTGACCAGCGGGCCGTAATGGAAAGTGGAATTTTCCTCTCTGCCAGCCGGCGCTGAAAGCTCCGCTGTCCCCGGTAATTGCGTGGTGGACTACAGGCCGTTCGTGTACCAGCACTCTTAGCTAACTGCTGATCTTTCTTCGTCTATTAGGAAACTCCTCATGCGTAGCTGCACGATCTAGTACTGAATAGCTGGCTGGGAACACGAGGGGGAAGAGGGGACAACCCTGCAGGTTGCTCGGGATGTATTCTTAATAAAACCCAGTTTTGTTTCCTTTTCAGATTTCGGCGTTAGTGCGTTTCTGGCCACCGGCGGTGACATTACCAGAAATAAAGTCAGGAAAACTTTTGTGGGAACACCTTGCTGGATGGCACCGGAGGTTATGGAGCAGGTGAATCATTTTTCCTAGTGTCCTCTTAGCTGGAATTCCCTCTTGTCCACAACAGTCGTATTTACTTCAAACGAAGGTGGTAGTTTGGCATCCTGTAAGGCTTTATTAAAACCCAAAGGGCTTTCTTTGATTTGCCTAGTGCACCTGAGCTTGTACTGGGGAATATTAAGTGTTCAGTAGAGTTTTGCACTATTGCTTCTCTTCAGGCTCCTACCCAAGGTGAGGATGAGACAGCCTAGCCTTTGCATAAAGAATAACCCGACCCCCTCTTGCATAAATGTGAGGTAGAATATAAGTAGTTTCACACATGGTAAATATGCGTATACAGAGCTCGGGAACGCGCTCTTCTGCATTTGCAGATGTGCGAATTTGGGGTAGCTAATTACAACATGTCAGAGTGGGGAGTTTTTACAGTAAAATAAGATGCACTTGACTTTATTCAGGTTTTTAGTTTCTCTTGGCTTGTGAGTATCCAGAGTGTAAATGCTGAGGCCTGCTTGCCTCTCCCCCTTCCTCCTCTGCTCTTTTGGCTTGCTAAAAGATAATAGAATCAGAGAATGGTTTGGGTTGGAAGGGACCTTAAAGACCATCTAGTTCCAACCCCCCTGCCATGGGCAGGGACACCTTCCACTAGACCAGGTTGCTCCCAGCCACATCCAGCCTGGCCTTGAACACTTCCAGGGATGGGGCATCCACAGCTTCTCTGGGCAACCTGTTCCAGTGCCTCACCACCCTCTCCATGAAGAACTTCTTCCTGATATCTAATCTAAACCTCCCCACTTTCAATTTAAACCCATGATGTGCTACTGCTTCCCCTTGGGTGGAGATAAGTCACTTTTTATCCTCCCCTACTTGGAGACTAAGCTGTGAGCTTTGTCTGCATGACTTCTGACGAAGGCCAACTGGAAACTTTGATGTAAAATATCGCTACCTATTCTGAGCAAGATCCACAAACAGAATTATGCCACAGTCCTGACAGGCCATTTGCAGTAGCTGTTGGTTACATTGACGTTCAGTGCCACGAGCGTTCTGAGGATTGTCCCTCATCCCCTTAAAACAGTTTGGCAGAGGGCTGCACCCAGGGTTTGATTTTTAGACGTGTGTGCTAAGGAGAAATACAGCTGACTCTGAGTGTTTTTCTGTTTTTCTTGTTTTTCTTTCCAAAAGTCTTTTTAGTAAAAATATTTTGGGAAACCATTGTTTTGTTAAAGTCAATCAACTTTACTTTCTTCATTGTTGTTCATAATAAAATATTTTGAGGGTTAGTAGGACCTTGAATAAAACCCCACCCATATATATATACACACACACAAATTTCAGTATTATATTTATAAAATGCAGCTAAAAGTGGTAAAACTTTAATGCGTTTTTCCCTATATCTAAAACTTCTTGAGGGATTGAGATAATTGGAGTAGTTTTTGAAAAATCAGTGTTTGGCCTCTTCAGTGGCTCCCCATGGTGGCATTGAGGGGCTGGTGCATCGCAGCGCTCCTGCAACCCCCTCAAACTACGAGTAACGCCACAGAGTACAGGACGCACTCCCCAAGTCAGGAGCCATCTTTGCGACCTGGCTTCTGATCTGCTTTACTGTCCTATACTTCTGATTTTTTTGTTAGGTTGATTTAAAAATCATAGAATCATAGAATCACAGAATGGTTTGGGTTGGAAGGGACCTTAAAGATCATCTAGTTCCAACCCCCCTGCCATGGGCAGGGACACCTTCCACTAGACCAGGTTGCTCCAAGCCTCATCCAGCCTGGCCTTGGACACTTCCAGGGATGGGGCATCCACAGCTTCTCTGGGCAAACTGTCCTAGTGCCTCACCACCCTCTCTGTGAAGAACTTCTTCCTGATATCTAATCTAAACCTCCCTGATTTCAGGGAGAAAATAAACAGAGGGAAACAGGGTTTATAAGCAGGGTTTATTTTTCAGGGGAAAAATAAACAGAGTGTGTGGGGTTTCCAAAACCAGATCAGTGTTGTCCCTTGCTTTTCTGTCCTTTGTGTCCTGTCCTGGTGCGCAGGGCATAGCAGGCTGGCCGGGACCCAATGGTGCTGCTTCAGCATCATGATGGTTAGGGTGGCTGCAATCTGCAGGACAACAGGGAAAAAGAAAACTATCTTCAGGAAGGTGCTGAAAAGGGGAAATAAAGGTTTTAGTGTTAAAGACAGGGCTCTTGGCGCAGCAGATGCATTTCTGAAGGAGGCAGCTCTCCTTGGGAGTCCAACACTTCGATGAAGGCCATGCACATCTAAGTTGTTGCAAATAGTAGATAGTAAGGAGGTATTTTTGCATGCTGATGTGAAATCCTTCCATGTCGTTTGTGTTACTGTGCTGTTTTCCAGCAGGTGTCACTCTGAGCTGCTATATCCATGCCGGGAAAAAGGACGAAAGGGTTGCAGTAGGATAGTTAGCCTTTGCTATGTAGCTGTTATCGACCCAATTCCATCTGGTTTACTTCAGCATCATTAAGTTCCTTTAGCATGTTAGTACATGATAGCCTGGCATTGTCTTTTAATGTACGTTCACTTGACAGATTTATGGCAAAAAAACCATTGTTGAGAAAAATTAAATGTTGATATAAACCAACTACAGGGTGGTGACTAATATGTATTGGACAGGAGTCAGGGTGAAGGGCTGTAGGCAGTTTTGAACTTCATAGATCTCATTGGCAAGCAGGATTATATGACATAATTAAAAAAAAGCTCCACTAAACAGTTAAAATCCCAGTGGGGAATGGGGGGTTGTGCAGAGTATAGATGTGCTGCAAGACTTAACTGGAAGATAAAGCTAGGAGATGTCCTCAAATTATTCTCAGAACCTAAAAATAGTGTGAAGGGGGAAAAAACCCACCCATAAAGCATATTCCTTTCTGCACTATGTACTTCTAAACTGTACTCAGTACCTGTGCTTGTTTAGTTAAATGACTTGAAATCTGTTTGTAATCACGGCATCCATAAACGGAGGCATTTCAAGAAACCTTTCAGCCCCGTAAAGCTCATGAAAATGATGCCTGCGGAGTTGAAGAAATTAGTGCAAGATATGAAATCCTGTTGCTATAGCTGAACTGAAATTTATTATAGCATTATATGGAAAACAGTGCAAGTGGGTGTTGTGCGTGTTTGCCAAAATTCAAGATCATCTTGAAGGTAGTTTGAGGAACGTTTTTGGCTTCATCACAATGAGTGTCTTTCTAAAGCTTGTTAGGTTAGCTGAACACAATATCCCTATTAGCTTTGCTCTGATTCGATATTCATTTTTCCATAGTCTGGCAAGAAGAAATACAAACCATTCTAAGCAGCCAAAACACTTTGATTTTTGTAGCTGCTCTGAAAGTTAGTACATAATGTCTCTCCCCTCCAGCGGGGAAAGCAAATGCCAAAATATTACCTAATGATAATGAGGAAGTAACTGCTTTGGCATATGAAATATTTTTTCCTGTGCCTGAGGGGAAGTAAATGCTATAAATTTTCCTGAACAAGTCTGTGTTTAATGTCAAGTGCAGAAGCTACTATTAATTAGTGGAGGGAAATATTAGTCTGCAGACAGGAATGAGGGGCTTTTACTGAGCTGGTGTGTACTAAAGTTCCAGGATTGAGCACGCTTGCAGTCAGATTGATTAAGCGGTTGACTAAAAGTGTAGTGAGGCATATGTCCCAAGGGGATAGCAGCCCATCTATTAACTAGGAGGGTTTCATTATGCTGTTTAATGACTCTCTGTGTCTTTGTGTCGAAGTTGGAGCCTGGGTTAACCCAGTGCCCCTTTATGCTCTACAGATGGAGAGGTTTATGGTAGAGCAGCCTAGCTGCACTGTCCACAACCATAATTTCCATCAGACTGTGACTTCTAAAACACCTCCTTGAAGGTATAAGGAGCTGGGGAGGGGGGGAGTCGGGAGAAAGTGTTCTTTCCATCTCTAACACTATTGTGCTGTTTTTTCCAAATCCGAGGGGAAAAGGAAAGAAGGGCCAAAGGATGTGTAACAGGCTAAAGAAGGGGGTTGTTGCATAGGATAGTGAAAGATACGTGCTAATACCCTCTAATGTTTTTCAGGTCAGAGGATACGATTTCAAGGCAGACATCTGGAGCTTTGGGATCACTGCTATCGAACTGGCTACGGGGGCAGCTCCTTACCATAAATACCCACCAATGAAGGTGAGCAGGTCTCCAGATACTTGTGCAAGATAAAGGATCAGTGTGTTCTGTGGGTGTTTCCAAGAATTTGGCCAGCATGCGTTGTTGAAGAGTTTGTCCTCTCAACTTGTACTTGTAGATCACAATGTTCTTGGATTTATCTGAAGTCACCTTTTAAAAATACGCCACTTAATCAGCATTGTCTGAAACGGTGCAGTTCCTACTTAGATCCTCAGTCTCTCCAGCGTCACTATTCTTGAAGAAAGTGCTGTGTGTTTTAATCCTGGAGCTTCTGAAGGGAGCAGATGTTTTTAGGGCTATAAATAAAGATTCAGAACACATTATCTGGCATCCAGTGACACTGGGATGGTGAGCCATTCCTTCCCCTGCACTGATAATCCTTGATACCCCTCAGAAATCCTGTTACCAGTTATCCTAAAGAATGTCTTTTGTTTAACACCCACGCAGCCCTGTCAATCACTGAGCGAGTGGAAAACCACGTCAGTATGAAATGGTGTGGTATTGGCAACATTAAGATTTTATTGAAGTTGGGGTGGAGAAAATGTTCTTGTTTAAACACTGACACTTCAAAAATATTTTTTAAATATCTTGAGCTTCAGACCACCTTATAGTTTGGCTACCTTCCCCTATTTCCTGACTCTTGAACCAGGAGCTACTTCCAACCTGCTGCTCTTTCAGTGAATCGACATCTTAAAGTTAAAAGTTGACCCCATCAGTTGAGGTCTGAAGCATCCTGCTCTTCTACTGAGCTTTGAGATCTTCCTTAGTCACTTTGTGAGATATGATGGGGCTCCATCTTGATCATGAGACTTTGAGCCCTTTTGGCCCGCTCTCTTGAAGGCCACTTTGCTCCTACTCCTGGGTTGCACGCTCCCTTGGATCATACAGGAGGGGATGGAAAACCCTTTAAATAGCTCCATAGCTTATGGTTAGACTAGTTACCTGGGATATGAGGCCTATGGGTGCCAAGTCCCTCAATTTTAGATATACCATGGGGCAAGCTTTCCTTTTCTCAGTCTTTTAGCTACTGGAGTGCTATGCACGTTGGGTGTCACCTCTTTAGGACCTGGGTGCATCCCCTCCCACCCCACAATTACAGCACGGAATCCAGTAGCTCCTAACTCGTTAGAACAAGCACACCCACATATTGCTTTAAATGCAGGACTTTACACTGGTGTAACTCCTGTGGAACAAAATTTTAAGATTTGTGCAGGGAGTATTGAGTGATTTAGAAATGCCACTGAAGTTTGTACCGTATCAGTGATTGTGGCAGAGCAGGAGGAGTCTGGGGAAATATGTTGCTGATTTAGCTGCTGTTGTTCTCATTGATACTTCCTTTTGTGCTGTGATTATTGGTAACATTTTTCAGTAACTTGCACAAGCTTTACATCTGTTCGCTGTGTTTGGAATGCATGGGTTGTAGCTTGGAGTACAAAGATTGCCTATGTAGTGTTGCGTATTGTCATATGGTAGAATTATGAGTCTCCCATTCTGTTAGGTGTGGGTTGCAGTTACGCAGCCCGCAAGAGGTCTTCTATGTTTCATTTATTGAACGTATTTCCCTGCAGATTAATTTTGTTATGCGTCAAAATGGCCTGTGCATTAAGTGACCCTCCAAGGAGAGTGGGGGGGGAAGAAGCAGGGAATTCTGTCATGGGCTGTATAATTTCAGCTAGATTGATGGGTTCTTGCTGCCTTAAGCAGTGTAGCTGCTGAAAGCTATTTAAATGTGCTATGTGCTTCTTCCCTTTCTAAAAATAGATATTCATCTGTATGTAGGTGACAAGTGAAAATGGAAATGAGTAATTTTCTTCCTTTCCTTCAGAATATCTGAGTGATATGAAGGAAATATCAGTTTGGCTTGATGGGTGCTTGTGAGACAAATGTCTTCACCTGCTGTCGCATTGGTACATAGAAGTCAACCCTTGTAAAAGCAGAAGGGCAACATGAAAAACCATATTAATTTGATTTCTAGCTAAGAAATACCTGCAGGGTGATTTAAACAGAGACGTTGAGTCAAGTGCCTTGCACAACTCCTTATCTCAAATGAGGAAAGCTGTAGAAGTTCTGCTGTGCTTACACCTTTAATCACCCCAAACAGGCCTGAAACCACATCACAACGTTGTGTTTGGCCCACAGACTGCACTGTGAGCCAGGAGATGTGAAGGAAAACAGCAGCATAAATTGCTGAGTATAAATTAGCCTGGCTTCTCAAGGAAAGGAGGTGAAGGTAACTCTCTCTAGGTCCTGTTGTACGAGTCTTGAACCTCTCAGCTGACAGAATTTGCAGAGGCGTAAAGGTTTTGAAAATAATTGTTTCTACGAAGTTGGTGAATGTGGGAAGCAGAGGGAAGAGGAGAAACCCTGTAATTAATTGTCTTGAGGACAAGGTGAGTTTCTGCTGTCTGGTGAATGTAAGGAGACAGTCTGAATAGTAAGAAACCTCACTCTGAGCGCAGGCTCCCCACCGCGAGCTGTTGAAATGAAACGGTCCTTGTTGTCTCAGACCTTGTTGAAAATACTTGTGTAAAATAGCGTTCCCAAGATCTGTCTTTAACAAAGGCCAAGAAAAATCTCATTGCCAATAGACGTAATTCTTTCAGGTTTTAATGCTGACGCTACAGAATGATCCTCCGTCTTTGGAAACTGGTGTGCAAGACAAGGAGATGCTGAAGAAGTATGGGAAATCATTTAGGAAGATGATTTCATCGTGCCTACAAAAAGACCCTGAAAAAAGGTAAGAACAGGTAACACCAAAATAGACACACACCCCTGAACTGAAACTAAAACCAAAAAACCCTAAAATAAACCCACAAAAGTTACTGTATTCCCAATTTTTTTTTAAGGCTGGTATGTTCTCTGCCCCTCCAGCCTTTCAGTGACAATGAACACAGCAATCTTGCTGTGTGGCAGCAAATTCTCTTGGCTGGCCTTATTTTTAAGGATAGACGCCTGGCGTGGTGCGAGGGCGCACATCTTCCATGTGGGTTAATGAGAGTGCAGCCCAGTCCGCTGCGTGCATGGTGCCATTCTCCCCCTTGCTGCCCCCGGCAGGTGACTGCAGTTCATGCGCTGTTCCCAGTCAAAACTACTCTGTGTTTAGAAGTCAGAAATTACATCCTGGGCAATATGTGTTTACTTGTGAAACTTCATAAATAAACTTTTTAAAATTTGCGGGTGCAAAGGCGGCTTTCAGTTTAGTTCTGACTTGCTTAATTATTTTGGTTTGGTGCAGGAAAATCAGGAAAGACACTGGCAGATTTTACCAATGTGTTTTCATCAATACACATTGCCTAAGTGGCTTGACGACACTCTCAGTCTTCCTTGTAACAGTACCTTGACTACTTGGTGGCGTCAGCAATGCTGCCGAGGGGGTTCTGCACGCGTTGCACTTCCCGGGATAACATTGTGGCCTTGTTAGGGCATCATCCGGCTGTCTGTGATCAGCTTGTCATGTAGGATAGCTCAGATGTATTTCTCTGGAGGACAGTCAGGGCGTTTGCCGATCTGTGAAGCTGTTTAAAGGAGTGTACATTCTGCGTTAAAAGTAAAGGCAAGGTAAAAGGTTCCTTAAATTGCAAAGGTAAAGAAAAATGTTCCCACAGATCAGTTTTTATACCTGCTGGTTTTCTTTTTTTCCCTCAGTAAGCAAACTAATTCTGGAAAGGAAAAAGTCCCTTCATAAAATAATAATCAAGACATTTTTCAGTTCCCTCTTGTGACAGATCCAGGAACAAGCGCTTCTCACGCACTGTGCGATGGGATCTCTTCTAACAAGCTTTGCACTTGAAATGCTTAATGAATCCAGTGGAGTGCTTGATAATTGCTGATAGCAGGGTTTTTTTTTCCCCAGCATGATATTTTTTTTTCTCCTTTCTAAACCCTGTCCCTAAGCCTGCATGTCAGAATGTGTGCTGATCAGAATTAAATATAACCCCTTAAATAGCACACCCCTTCTCTCTTCTCAAGCGCCACTAACAGCCACCGTCATCGTCCTGACTGTGGGAGCAGGAGCTTGCCCAGGAAGAGCAACTAGCACAATCAGCTCTGCTTATGTATATTGTGTGGGCTCTCAAAGAGGAGACTTTAGTTCAGTTGCTTTTACGTTATTTTTGGGTCTTCCTTGCTATGAGGTGGATGAATTTTGTTCAAGCAGTCTGAGGTTAAATAAACCCTGTGGTGAATGGCCTTTGCAAGTCACTAATTAAACTCTGTTACTATTTAAGCACAGTTTGCAGTGTAGGAAATGCTGTAAGCTGGGACTTTCTCTTGTAGGCCTGAGTCTTTAGAAAGCTTGTTCTAAACTGACCAAGGGATGTCTTTTTCTAGTGTTTATCTTGAAGCCTAAATTAAAGGGGAAAATATTTTGTACTTGTTCCTTCTCTATAGGCTGATCATCCTGCCTGTGTTTAATGGAATTAATTCCACACACATACTCGAGTATCTCTGAAATGCAGTATCACTAACTCTTGCACACACCCAAGTTCTGCACTCCTGCTGTAGGTGATGGTCCTTCATTTCAGTTTTGAGCAAATTGTTTCTGTGATCCTGTCCAACTGGCTCGAAGAAACTAGAGTTCAGCATTGAAATGGGAGCAACTCATCCCTCCTGCCCCCAGGTTATTCGCTGTGTTTGAATAAAACAGGCTTTGATCACAATACACTGAGTGTTTAAAAGACTTCTGGTGTAAAATTTACTGGGAATACATGGGCTTATTTTTAGGGGAATTGTGCAGGAGAAGCCGATGCCCGTAGGAGATGCCATGTTACAACAAGCTGGAGCAGCCTGGAACACTGTGTTGAAAGGGGGCATTTGTAATTCTTTTCTACGTGTGTTTTTATTGACAGACCGACAGCAGCAGAACTCTTAAGACACAAATTTTTTACGAAAGCAAAGGTAAGAAAACAATTCCTAAACTGCTCTGTGGAGAGGACTTCTCAGAAGTGTGCTAGGTATGGTGACAGCTTTATTGGCAGGAGTGTGGGCTGTTTCGCTTAGGGCCGGCACAGCTGAGTGAGTTGAATGGGTCATTGTGAACGAACAGAATGAAACCCCTCTTCTGTACCTCCTTGTGTATGCTGCTATTAAGAGAAATTATCTAGAAATTCTTGAGCGTTTAAATGTCTTTCAGTGGCGTTTGGGTTTTTTTTTCTTGTCTTGTAATGGTGCCATTCTGGCTGCCTGTCCAACCATAAAGGTCTCTGTGGCAGTAAATGTAACCTATATTTTAGTTAACCCTATAATCAGCCTGTATGCAAAGCAGTGAATGAGGCCCACTGTGTGGAGCACTACCTAAAACTATTTCACCCTGGGTTGCCTTATGGAAAGGGAAGATCCTGTGATAGCAAATACTAGGAAACTCCCGTTTATAGCCTTGAAGTGAACTGCCAGTGAGCATTTATGTAATTACTGCTTGGAGATTAGTGCATATGCAATGTGCAAGGTTTTATTGAGGGAGACAGACAGAAATAATATAAGGGAGAATTTGTTATTTTCACAATCTGCTGGTTTTAGTTAGGATACAGTTAATTTTCCTCAGAGTAGCTAATATGAGGCTGTGTTTTGGATTTGTGCTAAGAAGAATGTTGATAATAGCCTCATACTAAAAACATCCATCTGTTTTGGGTTGGTGCTGAGAAGAATATTTGTAGAATCACAGAATGGTTTGGGTTGGAAGGGACTTTAAAGACC